ACGAAACGCTCGGACATTACCGACTAAATTGTATTTACACGGAATCACGTACTACAAGTGACTCATTATTCTGTCGCGTAGCATATATCCTCGTGTTATGAATGAAACGATTCTATAGGCTCGACTGCTACTTATCAGGAATTCTGATCCATTTTACATGAACCTACAGTAACGGACAAAAGTTTAAGGCGACTACGGTTTTGATGCATTGTTGCATAATAATACAGATACTAAATAGTAAACAATTCGTAATTGGTCTTACGGGCGCCGACACGCGTCGATCTAACGTTTCGAAATGCTAAACAGTAGTTGGAATTGCGATAAGGAAATCTTTCGATCGCTCCGTTCGCTGCGGACACGACTGTCGGACCAAGACTTTGACTTTAAACAAATGTAAACTATTACCATATGTTTAAACACTTATTCTTGTAAAATTCATGAACCCCATTCAAATTTCTTTCCTTTAACGTTTCAACTTGGGAATGAAATGTTTTCGTTACACGGTGAAAAGTACTGCGTATATAAATTAATAGAATTTCTAGAAAAAATTTGTAATTCATAATGAAAAAAATAAAAAAAATATTAAAGTTAATATATTGGAGTATTGTACTTTATTTTTGCTATGTGAACAGTGTATAATTTAAATACGGTGGAGCTAATAATAAATTCAATTAACAGAATGTATTGCATGTATAATAAAAAAAAAAAGAATATAAAGAGAATCACTATGGAAGAAGAAAGAAATATTATTGAAAAATGGCTGGTAGTGCCCTGCAATACTATTTGTGAAATCTGCGCTATAAATGATTTGGACATTAGTGTAAGAAGAATCGTACAACTTACACTCGATTATCCCGGAATGAATTTTGCGTGGGGTTCGATCGTTATTGCAAAACACTCTTTGCAAGAGTGTTCGTTAGTCGTACGCGTGCTAAATAAGATTCTTAACGTAACATTAAGTAATATAATTAAGTAATCTTTGCGTAATCCGCGTAATGATCGGATATCTCGTTACGAAACGACGGCAAGGAACCGAAAAGAATGTTCGCGTGGGCGAGGAAAATGATAAAAATCGAGGTAATTCGCTTTCTAAAACGGATTTTTGTCCAACGAAATTTTAACCGTATACTCGTTTGCGCGGGAATTAACGTTGTCCAAGGTTTTCGTTCCCCTCTACCCTTTCCTTTCGTTTCGTTCTATCCGCCTAATCTTTCTCAACGAGCTGCCGTTCACCGACACGAACCACGTTGCGAGAGAAATCAATGCGCGACCTCCGTCTACGAACGCACATTATTCCACTCGAAAATGAATCATCGAGGCTAGTGGAAGATACTCGACAGTATACGTAGAAAACCAGCTCGTTTCGCAAAATCCTCTCCATCTCGATCAATTTCGATCGTCAATTCTCTCGAGTACTCGTACAATCTTGTGTCGATCGAAAAATTCTTTCCCTTTTACGCTCAGAGAACCGAGATACCATTGCAATTTATAACAGATTCTGCTTCTGTTCGCAGTTCTCTTCCATTTCATTACAATCTTCCATCGATTTAACGTTCGATCGATTTTAGTTTCTTCGCGACTCGTATCTTCTTAGAATTATTATTTACGCGCCAATAAATCGAAGAACACGGGACACCACGAGTTACGTTTGCCCATTAATCAATAACGCGAAGCTCAAATGTTACAGGTATATTTTAAAAATTTATTAGTACCGTTCTGGCGAGGGACGAGATAAAAGAATAAGCAATAAAAATGTCGAGCGTCCTAAATAAGCACGGCCGGGCCCAGCCAGGCAATTTCAGGTAAAATGGAGGCGTGCGAGACCCTGAGAATGTCGGGTCGGGTCAGGAATTTTTCTCGGTATCGGCTCGAGATCGGAAAATAACTGTGAAAACTCTCGACTTTTACAAGCAAATTAAATTTCAACGTAAAATATTAACAGGAAAGAAACGATTTAAAAGTTAACGATTTCGTTCGATGCCTTCTTGTCTTCGTTGGTTTGAAACATTTCAGTGATTTATTAAATCGGCACTGAAATGTATTAAGTACTCGAGACTTCTAAGATAAGATAAACGTTAAGATAGGCACAATCTGCAGCGTACTGTTTATAAACACTTCCAAACCCTTGGTCGTAATCAGCAAACTACGTACCCCGAAGTTTATTTCGCGTACCTGGAATTTCTGAAATCCCGATATTCCCACACCACGAAGTATAATTCTTTGGGGATTTTAACACGACCTGGCCTAAGGCTCGGTATACCCAAGATATCATGTTCCCGCGCACCTTCGTTGCAGAAGCTATTAAAGTCGATTGCATCCATTGCCCGAAGGTGTTCTAAAAGATCGATTACGTACCAGTGGATAAAGAGAAAAAAAAATTATGGTCGGACAGAAGGACTATTTTATTATACCGTTCAAAGCGACCAGAAGTGCAGTAAAAATTCAAGAATCCCGATTGTTCGGGGATTCGGTAGCTTCGAATTTTCCGGCAATATTTTTAAAATTCAAATTTAACACGTCTAGTGACATTTTAATGAAAAAACACAAAAGTTTTTTCTTATTTCTCGCAAAACAAAAACCTGTAAATAAAAATACACGTTTCCATAAATATAACATCGAATACACTAAACAAATGAAAGACATATGGCATGGTGTATTATTTCCTCCTTGAACGAAATTTTTGTATCGAACACCGCTTCTCTCGAAAAAGAGTCCCTTTCGAGTGAACGCGTCCGTTAAATGAATCTCTTCTTTTTGTGAGAGTTGCGCGTATGCACAAATTTAAATAAAATAAAATAATATACGTTTGAAACTTGTTACGAAATCGTACAACACGGGGTTAAAGTTCCAAGTCGTGAGAATTGTCGAAAAAACAAGACTAAAAACGCGTAGATATTTCTTTTTCTTATTTTGATTCGAGCAACGTGACAATACGAACGACTGGTTTTTTATTCGTCGACGAGGAAAAGATTTCTTTGAAATGACATCGATCGCCCGTACGTTTCGATTTACAAATCTAAATCCAAAGATCGCGTTTCGATAGCTAACCGTAAAAGTTTATTAAACTCAATGGAAGCTTTACAACTCTGAGATTCTCACACGTGCGGATACAAGCGTAACCGATATGATAACATAAACACAGCACTTAATTTACTCAACAATTACCATTAACCTGCCTTATCGTCATTCAGATTCAAATTGGTACAAGCGTGATACACAAAGCTATTTATAATGTCGGAATATCATCAGCAAAAATGTATAATTTATGATCCGTCAATCCGAGAATACTCGACACTTAGATATCACGCGGATCGTTTGAAATTACAATGAAAGTCCATCGATGTAAATGACGCGTTATTGTCGCCGTGATATGTAAAATCAAAGGAACAACCACGAAAGACCGACATAAATATTAATAATATACATAGAAGACAATGATTCAGGTATAATGTTAATGCCCGTTGCGCAGTTTAGTTTCTTTATAAACAATACAGTTGTTAAACAAAGTGTTAAGGTTAATGGGTTGTGGAAAAGAAATGTATTACGGTATATGTACCTTTTATAAAATATCTTTCATTTCATATGGAGGAAATTAATGTAAAACGTGTAGATAAAATGATATCATCGACACACACGAACCATTATCTACCCTTTAGATACTACAATGGAAAATATAATTAATAGATAATCGACAACGATATTTCCACTACAGGTATAAAGAGCAATAGATTAAAAGTATCGAAAATTTAATTTAGCTCAAGTTATAATTAATTTATTATCAATTAAAGATTTTAATAAGAAGATAGCTATGGTATATATGCCATGTAAAAATAAATCAGTAATACTGTTGCAGTTGTAAGGATATTGTTGTATGATAAAAATAACTATCAATTTAACTACTAAGTTTTTCGTTATCAGGTTGAACGAATCGCAAAATGACACGAAATTTCACATTACCACATCAAAGAGTATAATTAACAGCCGCGCTTTTAAGTAATTATCTGCTGTCACCGACAGCCGGTAAACGTCACGTATTCTCGAATCACTTGAACGACGTCTAATTAACTTCTCCTTGCAACAGAATAAACGCAACCATCGGCGTGTATGGTTTCAAACCGCTATCGTGCTAACGAGAATGTGATTTTTACAAATCATGTGCATTTTACAAACGTACCACACATAGTAAGACAAGTTCTAACTGAATTTGTCTTTGTCTTTCCATTCACCTGGTGCATCGCAGGTGTTTTAAAATTCTCAACATTTGTTCAAATGAACGAAGCTAGGTCTTGCAAACAGTTATTTTATATTCATTGACAAATGAAAAGCATTTAAATTAATACCATTTGATAAGCAAAGTATACGTTTTTTTTTAAATGTGCATAAATAAATTTGTAATGTTTTAAAAAGCTGTATCGTTTCAACAAAATATTCACAAAGAAATGCCATTTCAGAGCACTCCGAGTTTAATCAAAACCACAAGTATTCCTGATGTATAAATAGAATAAAGATTAATGTTGCAAACGTTATTTATATAAAATCAGCAGCATGTAAATACGTATCGCGAATAATTCAGAACAGTATTATTTGCTCAAGCTTTGATTATCAATCATTATCATCAAGTTAGAGATATTGTATGTAAAAAGAACAAAAAAAAAAAATCAGACTTTTGTCATTGACGCAGGAAACATAAGAAGAACAATAAACAGAGCCATTTGCACCGTGTACTTTCCGAGATAAGTTACGATTTTCTGAAATAATCGCATACTATAGCAGAACGTTCTGGAATGTTCGAAACCTGCGTTTTTATAGAGTTCATTCGAGACAAATCAACACGAACGTGAAAAATCTAATGTGGGAATTTTAAGTACACGCTAATAGAAGTCGTACTCGTTTTGTGTTCAACGATCTGCACAGTGTATATTTGCCGCCTTTAATACAGAGTCGATTTCGGAGCCAGCGTTGGCAATCCTTTTATAGCCATCGGAAAAACGTAAACTTACCGTAAATACGAGGATAATCCGTAGGTAGTAGAACGGAAGAACACTGCTTTTTGGTCAAAGAATCTTCTAGTTTTCAAACGTGCACCGTGTTTCTGTGGCACATGTCACACAAAATCGTACCGTGGAGCGAAAACAAAGGCGTCGGTCTCGTACGCCGGCCAGCAAATTGGTAAAATGGTATATTCTAGTCACTTTAGTCTTTATTTGGATTCTATGTTATTGTACTTTGGAAGTTCACTAGCACTTTAAAGCAACACGTAAAGATGGGTTTAATGCGTACGCGCAATGATAATCGTTGGTTATTGCGCGTTACTCCTCGGGAGAACGAACGGTCGTTAGGTTAGGTTACCGGCACGTCGCGCGCACACGAACGCACGCACGCATAAAATTGCTAATAAAAAAATCCGTCTTGGGTCCGTTGGTCTCTAAAACTTGCCTCGATCCACGGAGTGACTTGAACACGGGGACGAAAGCACCTTAGAAAGCACACACACGTAAGAAGCGCTTCCTCGGCATCCAACAACTTCGCTGGTAACGTGCGTACACAACACAACTTTCAACGACACGATACGCGAAGACAATATCGAACGTACTGTACACAACTCGGATCCGATTGTACCGGAACCGGTGGAAAATTTCGTTAGGAATGGGAAATTTTCGTCGCTTTGCAACGCGACCCGTATTGATTCAACGACTTTTAGTATAACTTATCCGAATAAAATTCCATAAAAAGCACGATAATATACTTCCTCGGTGCACTTTTTTTCCTTTCTTCTGTCTTGACCGGTTCGCCGGTTCCACAGACTCACGCTTCCTTTCGTTCTCTTCGCCGCTCTCTTTCCGATCCTTCCGTTCTTTGTCCGTACGGCTCGGCCGCTGCTACGTGACTAACCGTGTTGTACACACTCGTGCCGCACGAGGCGCGGCGAAGCTAACGAAGGGGGACCAACGGTTCGTCGATCGGAATCGACCCTCGGCTGAGGGAGCCTTTCTTTGTTCAAGCGAGACTGTGTGGTATGGCTCGTACGGGTCCCTCTCTCTCTCCCTCTTTTTCTCTCTCGCTTAACACGCTCTTATCCTTCCCTGCTTCTCCTTCTCGTACATACACAGCAGCTTACTCTCTCTCTCCCCCTCTCGCTTTCTCTCTCTCGCTCTAGCTTCACTCACTTCACAAAGTTCCCGATGTGAACGATCGCGCGGTCTGTTGGTAACTGAGACGGCGGCGACGATGGAAGGTGAATTCACACACGGCGTCCCGGCGTCGGTGGCGGCGGCGGCGACGGTGGTGTGGTGGTGGTAGTGTGGCGGCGGCTGTCCCTCCTCGTCACGACGAACTTGGTGGGGGGCATGCGAACGCAACCACCACCGGGTTACTGTTCCCCTCGTATCTCCCTCGCTTCAGGATGCCGTACGACATCCCCCACATCCCCTACACCCCCACACCCCGCAATATTCTGCACACGCACATCGCCCAGCCACCAATTGGCGCCCGTCATAACGGATGTACGAATGCAAAGAAATCGCTTTAAAGTTAATCATCGTACGGCGATTGGTCGCTTTTATGCAACCCACTAAATGTCATTCATCGAGTTTATAGGTGTCTATGATTATGCGTCGAGCGACATACGCTGGACGAAATTTTTATAAGTACGCCATGATTTACAAGCCGAGAGTTCATTTATTCTATAAATATATGTTGGTAACGTGCGAAAACATTATGCATACACCGGTATCATTACCGTGAAATAGCGCATGTAAACAGCGAGTTCTCGCTTTACAAATAAAAATATTAAAGTCCTGATCGTGGTTGGGACAAAATTCGTACGAAAACAGTACGGAAATGAAACAGTTTTTTAATTTTCTTGTTTCGTTTGAAGCTATCATGATTCTTTCGATTAATTTCTTCTATCGTCGAATATAAAGGACAAATTAAGTTGGACTAAATAAATAAAGCTCTGTAGGCACATATAACGGAATCGATAATGTCTCTATATTATTACAGCATCGACGCGGTTATTTGTTCTTAATATATACAAATACGTGTATTTAGCGAAGGATCGACAAATAAATACTGTATAATTTTATAAACAAATATACAAACAAAATAAAATACTACTCGATTGACAGAAAAATATTTATTTTTCAAATTTTGTTTATGGTTTTATATAATTCTGTCCTTTTGTAAACGGAATAAAATATATTTTTCTGAATAGTGTTTGTGCTCGATTCTCTGACGTTTCCTTATTTAATAAATCACAATAAATGCTGCGCACTTTCCAAATATCGGCCAGCTACTACATAACAGCTTTCAGAGACACAATTTTCTTCGTGAAAAGTCCAACACCCACGCCACTTTATAGTATAACCACAGCATCGCTGATATTTCATTTCACCTTCTTTATCAGTAATATAATGGGCAGCATTTTCAATGCCGAGAAAAGCACACGGAGGAAGATCGGTTTTCGTGGCTCTGAACTTGAATGCGAAATTTATTTAGTATAATATCCGTCGCATTGGCCAAAGTGAGAAAAATTCAAGGTAAATTACTAGTATCGGAAAACTGGGGAATCGTGAAAACATCTACGTAAAAAGATTACGGATAATAGAAATTAAATTAAGAGGGCGGTCTTGAGAAGAAGAACATGAACATGGCAGCTCGAATTTCTAATAAATAATTGTAGTTTGACGTTCGTGAGAACCTGTACGTGGTTTCCAATTTGATGTGAAATTGTTCCCTTCCCATTTTCTTCTTTCCCCTAACCACGACTGTTATAGCCTTGCATAGTGACCCTTCGTTTCTTGTAATATCTCGCAACTCTTACAATTCAAAGCATATGTTTATGCCATTATGGTAGTATTTTTAAACTGAACTTTGTATTTCTGTGAAATAAGCGAAGCTCTTATTTCTTAACACTATTTCTACTCCGGTTTTATGCACACCTATTTCGTATCCTCCACCACCTTTGCATTTAGATGGAAATCATCGTTAAAAAATAATTTTAAGCTACGGTTTACAAAGGTGTCTCTTAAAGTAGAAAAGAAAAAAGTTTTTTTTTTAACACATCGAATATTGCATTACAGGATAAATCTAGAAACTGGGTCAAGCTATAGTTCCTTTCTAAGTGAAGATAGATAAGTCGATCTTTTAAGCCATTTAACTGTCCGCACTCTTCTTCAGAGTTATTTTTAGTATTCGAATAAACTTTTTCATAATAGTTTACTTATATCGTTCACAATTGCGCCACGATATTCAATTGGTTAAATAATAATATTGGCATGACAATATGAAGCTGGAAACGCATTTTTTACAAATAAATTATATATGAAAAAGGTTATTCAACCGCATTATTTATACAGATCTCTTTTATGCCGTCTGTAAATGTTTAATTCCACTCCTTACATACGTACGCCTACTAACCTATGTTTTATACGCTTCACCTTTACGCATTTTCCAATATCTAGACAGGCCTCCCTATTCTCTACTCCACTTACTCAACTATAACAGAACTCGATGAAGAGTAGTTACCCCCAACCACCGGTGTTATTTTCCTCCGCAAATCGCCATTACCTTTACTCCATTTTACAGCACTTTACGTCTATGCGTGTTTCCAATATTTATGAACCCTACATCACCCTAATTAACGACAGCGTATATTTTTGCTCCGGTATACTATGCGTACATCCCACGTATCGCTAACTTCTTCAGAATTACTAACGAACATTATGAAACGGATATTCGTAATTATATTTTCCACCGATGTAACACGGTAAAACGTTACAATATTTATAGATATTATATAAGCCAATACCAGTTTAATTTTCTGTTTATTTTGAATGAAATAATTCGCCTCTAAAGAGAGTAAACTGAAACTACACAGTTTAATGACTAGAAACTCCTATTTCAAGTGTACACGTGAACTTCTCGTTGCGCGCAATCAAACATGTGGTATTATTTGTCACGTGTTTACACACGTGTACGCGCATACAGATTTGCTGTAACTTAACCGGAGGTTGGACTAATTTTATTTTCGAATAACGAATATAAATTTTAGGTTCATTCAAAACTTCAATTCATTTACGTTTCATCCGTTAACTCAGAAACACGTTAGAAGCCATTAATGAATTTTCTTTGACTAACACTAGTTAAAATTTTTATTTATTATTCGGAAGTAAAATTTACTCTACTATCAAGAGACTTGGTTGTACATTTAATTTAACAAATGTCATGATTTCCCAAAATTAAGTTTGTGTTCTCTGCTTCCCAATTTTGATTAATGCGAAATGACTGTGACTTACTTGAATGTTCCTATAAAAATTGCTATTGCGAGTCTTTGTGTAATCGTATTTTAAAGCCAAAGGGTTACTATCGTCCCTGGTCTCCCCTATCTGTTTCGAGCAAAGTTGTCTTTTGATACATTTGGTGGGAATAATGTTAAATTTCAGTTGTTCCTTGCTTGCTCGACACGCAAATGAGAACCCCTGGCCCTTGTATTCGCTTGCCCGGAACGAGTCGGAACATAACTGGCCAGAGAAAATGCATAGGGCATGCTCGTTGCTGGTAACGTCTCTTGGTCTCGGAGCAGGTGCTCCTTATTGGTCGGTTGTGGTTCAGGGCCGAACCATTTCCTTCGTCAACCGTAAAAACTCGGTGGGCACCTCGTCACTCGATTGTAGGATAATTTAGGGAGAAATACGTTAGTAATATAGCCTCCGACCTTGTACTCCCCGCGACAATACTTAAGACTTCACATAAAACATCATAAATTCGTGATTTAACACTAAACCTTCCACGACCGGTCAAACGACCGTTTCTCATTTTTCAATACTCGCTTGGCTCCCTTCTTTTCTTTCTCCGAGTATGAGAAATATACGTGCCGCTGATAATGAACGTAAGTCAATGAATAAAAAGAAACGTGACTTAAAACCGTGTAAATTTCTCTTATTAAATGTGATTGTAACTTGAAGCATTTTCAAGATATATGCTTGGACACTGTATCAAAAATTTGTGTTACTATCTATTATACACTTTAAGCTAGAAATAGTGTTAACAACTAGCCCATCGATCTCCACGGTAGGAAGGTGTGTACACGCACGTACACGCGCTTAAATCACCAATTTGACAATGTTCGATGAAATTATTTAAAATGACAACGCAGACATTTTTAGCACGAACATGTGTCCCCAAGCATTTATTGACATTGTCCGATAAGAAAAGCGAATGACGCAAGTACTTGCTATCGGAAAAT